AAAAAAAAAAAACCACATGCGATTTGAAGCAAACAAGTGAATTTGGTAATTAAATTAAAATATATATTTACATTCAATTATGGAGCATAACCATCCAAATTATATAAAACCACTTTCTGGAGGGGCGAAGGAGAAATCAATCAAATGCTGCGATTGTCACAAATGTCAGCTTAAGCTTAGACTATGTCAACTTTTAGTGCATGTGCTTAACTAATTGTTAGTCAGTTGGCCTAAGTACAATCTAGGTCTTAATAACAATCGATTTGACGACAATGATAAGAAGTGGAAATAAAACTAACATCACGTTTCGAACATTAAAAACTACTTTAAACTACAGCTTGGGATGTTGATATGTGTGTATGGGTGTGTGTGTGCGTGTAAAAAATCTGTCAATTGTAATGAATAATTTAGTTCAACATAGAAACGCGCAGCAGTTTTTCTTTTATGAGATCTTGAACAAATTGGCATTCGTTTTGCATATAATTTCTTGAATAATAAATATTTTATTCAAATTTCGATGTGAGCGTGTGTTTATATGTATGTGTGTGTGTTGAGTGGATATTACGCAGCAACAAATAATAAGTAGGTACAATTATAATAATAATAATGATAATATATAGCTACAATTACTAATAATATGTATGTTATATAAATATACATATATGTATTTATATATATTCGTTACGATTTATCAGATATGTTTTATAATGCGACAATAATATTTATTGTACATAGATACGAATGCGTTTTAATCTATAKTTAATTTCAATAATAATAATACAAAAAAACAACATTTCTTACACAATTATCAAATATGTTTTAGTTAGTTGTTAACTATAATTAGTAATTAAACTAAACTAGATATACATATATGTATAGCATATTGTAAATTATAAGTATACATATAGAAATATATTTGGATTTTGCTTCATTTTACCCTCTGCCCCTTTTTGCATACAACTTTCTAAGAATTTCTCTCATTTCATTTAATTTTCATTTCAATTCAATTTTCAGGTTTCAATTTTCAATTTTCACTTTTTAGTTTGCAGTTTTTGATTTGTCGAATCTCTCAATATTTTGGCGCATTCAAGTTCAAATTGAGGTTTCGTTGCTGTGCTCTGTAGCGCACATTTCTGTTGTTGTAGTTGTTGTAATTGTAGTTGTTATTGTAATTGTGAAAATCAGCTGAGGGCTGCGCCTCGCCGATTTCGTTCAGATTATATTATTGACTGAATGTTATATTGAGTGACGGACACTTTCGGACGCTGCTGTTGTTGCTGCGCGTACCATTGACCCGCAACAGCGGCACAGGACTAACCGTACCGGATACGGAAGTTAATTGTCTTACCATTCCAGATCCCAAYTGCTGCAGCAAGCCAGATCCAGACCCGAGCGGACCCGATGACAAAACCGTCGAGGTGCGACGCGACCGTATCGACTGCATGCTGGACGACAATAAGAACGGAACGCTGCTCGAGGTGTTGGGCATGGAGCCACCCTGTTTTTGAGAGTACAATAAAGGAGATTTCTTTGGAAGATTAGTTAAAGCTTATCACCATGGCCGCTTCATTATCTGCGAGCTGTGCGGAGTACATATACATATATATGTCTATATATATATATATATATATCTTATAATACTCA